TAGAAAGAATGAGTGAACGGAGTGACAGATAATCCTCAAATTGGCCTATAAAATCAGGTGCTGACAAATTATTGCAACTAATTTTTGAAATTGTAGGCGAACTACTACGTGGTGCTCCGAGCTAACCTTCTAACTAGATGAAATAATGGAACGTTCACCAGGTGTTTGCGAAGGTGTTTTCAGATTGAGAGCGCAAAAAATGGAAGCGCCAAAAACCTTTGAACTATCTATGGGCATTGGCCCCATCATTAAATCCAGCAGATAGATATGAAGGAAAAGCCTAATTACCTGTAAAGTTGGATAGTGAGCCTGTCGGTAGCTACTTCGATATGACGTCGAGCGATAGCCTATATTTTCGTAGCTGAAAGTACGAAAATCCCATAAATGCTCATGTTTTGCACTGTTATAATCACTGTACTTATGGTATGTTTGGAACGTGATTGATGGCACATAGCACTTATTATGATGAAGTCTGTTCTACTCTGGATGAATCAGCATGCAAAATGATGCAACTCAAATTCGTGATTTATATACGTTTAGCGATGATTTCGGATGCGCTGCATAAGAAAATGGAATTGCTGACCGTATCAGAAATTGAGGTTGCCAGGGTTAGAAGGACCTGGAAACTTTTCATTTTTGTATACATTTGCGTTAAGGTCTATATTTGGTTCTGCTAGGTCTCGACTTGCTTAGTTATGTAGTGCAATTAAGTAGGATAAGGTATAAGAAGCAGTAAGGATGGAGTAAAGCTTACATGGGAGCATGTTCAGCAAGCGGTTGAGCCGAGTGGTTGATTAGTGGGTTATCGAGTTCGTCACTGGTTACGGAGCGGGTGGTGACACTACGTCGCGAGTTCGCACGAGGAGGCAGTCCGAACGAGCCGTTACTCGACGTCGACGCTTCCGAGAAGCGCTGATGGAGAGAGCGACGAGATGTTGAGCTTAAGAACTGGGCTGAGCAAGGGTTGATTATTGGCTTAAGCCTGGGAGATGCAGTCTAGGGAACATGCAGATTACGTCTGGAATCATTCTCACCTTGGTACTCGTCGTTGGACGTGATCATCGTCTTCGTAGTCACTCTTTTCTCCGTTGGGGGTGCACAGGTCCGGCACAGATCCTCGTGGCGTCGTGGGACATGACTTGGCCACTGCTCTGGTCAAGGTACTAGTGCCATTCGCTTGCGCTAGTGCTGTCCAGGATCCTGGAAAATGTGTAGCTTTGTTGAACAAAAGGTAAGTAGAGAAGCAACTTGTGCTAGTAAAACTTACCCCCACTTCCATTCTCCATTGTGCTCACATCGGGTTTACTAGCACTCAAGCGCATCTGATTCAGACCTAACTCCAACCCACGCAATTTCATCGCTGCAGCGGCCAAGTCCTGAACAATGTCCAGTAACGTTTTTGGAATGAAGAAAGGTACACAAAAAATCACGAATGATAAAAAATACCTTTTGCCTCTTCTTTCGCACGCTTTTGTTCATGGACTTGTCCTTAGCAAGCCGTTCAGCCGCCGCTACGATTCTCTTATGGAGTTCCACATCAGTCTCAAGTTGACTCAACTTGTCTCCCTGAAAAAGAAGAGTTGAAAACAATTCAGAAGTATGAAACTTG